AACTTCTGTACATGTGTTTTTCTCTACTGCCTTTCCGTGTGAAAATAATGAGGTCATACTCATGTCACAATACTTTGAAGCTGATGCCATGTTGATGCCATGAGACTGCGAAGCTGAGGTCACGATGATGCCACAAAATAAGCGAGGCGAACACAGCTTCAATTTTCAATGACGCGAAGCTGATGCCACAATGATGCGATGCTGAGGCGACAATGAAGCCATGCATAGGCGACAATGATGCCACAAAAGCCAAAGCTTTCGCGAGAACTGTACTGTAAATGGGTATGAATTTGTTGATTAGATCAAACTAGTGGACATTGATTTTAAAAAATAATTGAATGTGTCTACAAGCAGGACAAATATAACCGATCATTTGTATGATTACAATACATGCAAGGTTAAGATAAAAATAGGATGGACACTCTGTATTATGTGGGCATGGTGTATGATATACTAGATTAACATTTTGATGCTGTATTTTTATTTTTTAGATACCTCAAGCCTTGCAGCCAGTTATGACAAATGTGGAGATGAGCTGCTCTACCCAGACTACTGACAAAATATCGCACCCATCAATGAATGACACAGAGATGAGCTACTCAACCCAGACTACTCGCATAGTGTCACATCCATCTTTGAACGATGTTGAAATGAGCTGCTCTACCCAGACTACTGACAAAATATCACAATCATTATTAAATGACACAGAGATGAGCTATTTAATCCAGACTACTCGCATAGTGTCACAGCTGTCTGTGAACGATGTAGAAATGAGCTGCTCTACCCTGACTACTGACAAAACATCACAGCCACCATCAAATGACATGGAGATGAGCTATTTAACCCCTACTACTCACATAGTGCCACAGCTATCTTTGAACGACACAGAAATGAGCTGCTCTACCCAGACTACTGACAACAGTAATGATGCATATTCCCATGGAAGAAGTAATTTCACTCGAAATCATGAAATCAATGCCAACCTGCTACAGGTAAACAGGCCAAATATTAACAATGAAGTTGAAAAATTAACTATTACCTACCAAACTATGTTGTGCATGTTCAACACAATCAATAACATTTTCATCAATGTCTTGTTTATTTCAGATGCAAGAAGTTGATTTACAACCTGATATTCCAGCTAAAATAAGAAAATGTAGTGATGAAATAGATCTTCAAGCATGTATTCTAGATGAAGGTATGTGAATAGACCTTATTCTGTTTCCTGTAAGATACTGCGTTATGTGTGAAATCAAACCAAAAAAAAACAGGACAAACAAAGGTCATAGTGGTCACGAAACTATTTTGGGAGTATTTCCACACTAATGTGTTGTACAAATTTAATGAAGTAAAGATATTTCAATGCCATATTCCTCTCTGAAACTACAAAAAAGACAGTTTCAAGTTCAAAATCAAATCATTTGAATCACATCCACTGTGGAAAACATCCAATATCATTTTAAATGAACGTCCAAGAGATAAATAATCTTATACTTGTATCTTTTCAATCTGTTTGTGTTTTTCAGACATGCTATATTACTTCAAACATGACATTCCTATGACAGGTCCATCAAAACATGTGTTGTCTGGAGATGAAAATGATGAAGGCTACACCAACAGTTTAAGTGAAACTCTTGAAGATAAACATGTGAGTACCTTTTGACTGCATGACATACAAGTACAAAAGTTGAAGTGTTCCTCTAGGCATGTCGGAAATATTATGTAGCGAAGTTAAAAACACAATCAAAATGTGAAAAAAAAACTATTCAATTATCCCAAATCTGTAAAAGATTGGTCAATGCATGCTCAAACAAGTGACCGTAGACCGGATTCTTATGCTAGGGAGTAACAGAGCTGCCAATCGTTACGAGGAATTCGTATTTTTTATGAAAATACAACAGGAATACGATAATACCAAAACATATCAAATAAATACTAATCTATGGCATAAAACAAGGTCAAAGCGGAGTTCACGATCAGTTTATACACCTCAAGAAAAAAGCGTGTTTATTGTGTGATTGGGTAGAATACATTTGCACTATTATCATCGCGAATCATGTAAAAATTCTATTTTACCTTTTAAAAATTGCTAATCACCTCTTTCGAAAACCATTTTTAACTGAAATCAATGCTAACACATACCACGGTATTGCTTTACTTCCGCAATGTTATTTTTATGATCACTACCATTCGGAAAACTTTGGGTTCTACCGACAATACCATGCTGATTGGTTAATGGGGACTATGTCATTGACAATGACTTGTTTCATCATATTTTGACAACTGGTAGTCTCACAGACTTTACAAATTTAACAAAAAAATGTTTTCTTTGATGTCATGAACTGACATGGGCACTAAAACTGACTGTATTTGATATAGACAAAATAATAATGAACCATGGATAAACATTTTACTGACCATCACTATTCCATCTTAAAAAGGTGTTATTAAAATTCTATTGCCGTTTTTCTCTTCTATTTCAAACTTTATTTCACTTGATACATACTTAATAAAACACAATATATCTGATTCAGACTATTTCGTCTTTAATTGATTGCAGATAGATAGACTAATTTTATTAACAATAACTTATATTGACTTGTATCACAATGTTTCTTGCAGAAAACTGATTATTATGCAAATATAATTATAAAAGTCAGCCTTAATACTTGACATGCAACCTGGAGAGAACACTGATTGACACACAAGATCTATTTAATGATATATGGTCATGTGACCTCATTACAAATGCATAAATATCGTATCTGGAGCACTATTGCTGATGGTTGTCTCAAAACAATATACTGGGTCAAGCAACGTATATATAAATTGAAAACATTTTTTAGTAGCATCTATTTTTCAAGAGTACCTAATGGTAATTTGACCAGGCATGTTTAAAGAATTAAAGTTAATCTGCAAACTTATATCTCATTGATTAGATAACCTTATTCTGGATATGCATTATCTGTTTTCTGTCTAGTACTTTGTTAACAAATTTGTCTTGCTCAGTATCATCGAAAAAAAAAAATTTGGTTCCATGCTAACTGTAATTTTGCTTGGAAATAAGTGTACGTTGATCAGCAGCCTCGGTTAGAATGTCAGGTCACTTCCTGCAAAAATAGCGACCTGTGTCTTGATGGGAAGAAATCATAAATACTATATATAATCCCTAGTTATCCAAGCCAATGCCTGTGGACTTTTATATCTGGCTGTCCTCTGTGCTGATCCATACTTTTTTTATAGTTAAAGCTACTCAAACACAATGGCTGAAAACTCAGTTTAGTGGTAATATTTCAATTGTTTGCTGGAAATAAAAAGATCATACCTGTTAGAATTTGAGCATGTCACCATTTTTTTTAGGTTATTGAAAATACTGATATCTCCGACTTAGTGGACTATTTAAATAATAAAAAATCATGGGAAGATTTGGAAAAGGCTGGTAAGTTACTCACAATGTAAATATATATGCCTTATAATTGTGTTTGGATATTTGTTGTGAAGCATTTTCATTAAAATTGGTCCGAGATGCACGACATTAGCCCCCCCCCCCCCCCCCAAATGTTATACATGTTACTACAGCGTCTGAGTAAAGTCGAACATTACATACTTTCTAGGTCAGTTGTGTTTATCACATACCCGAAGCAGGTTGCAAAAACAATATCTTTCAGATTTGATTGGCCAAAATACTCAAAATTGAAAAGGCTTTTAACTAAGTTTTGCCAACAATACAACTTTTAGATATAAAAGCCTGGGTTTCTGTGTGGAAATTTACACAAGCCCAGTGTATCGCAAGGCACTTACTTTCAATGTACTAATTAAAAAGAAAACGTGACGCATAAACATTCAAATCGGGATTTACTGTACACACTACAACAAAATTTCATGATTTTCCCTGACTGAAATTGGTCTCTTGTGAAATTAAGACTGTTCACAGTACATGTTTATTTCATTGATTTCAGAACCAGGCAGCATGCAAACTTGGGACACAGGATACTTCTCTGAAGTTGAGATGCAAGAAATCTAAATCAGGTACTTTTATCTTGAGACATTGCTAAGTACACATTTGAACTAATCTACGTAAACGAGTAATATTCAGTGCTGGAAAACAAACACACTAACCACTGTAGCATCACTCCAGTTGTTTACATAAAGTTTCTTTGTTTTAAAATTATGTCAGCTACTAGGTTGAAATATTGTGCGTGTGAAGGTTTTTAATCATATTTTTTCTTTTTTTTTTCACAGTTCTAACAGTCGCCATGTGGTGCCACTCAATGCTGTCTTTGTCTGCAATACAACTGAGTTTAAATATATATGGAGAATTGCTGCATCTTTTTATTTATCATATTCATTTTCATCTTTTAAGTTGTCAACATACATTTACATTTTCTTTATCAGCAAGACATGTAACTTCTATTTACTCTATTTGTTAGACATATAACGGTAGTTGAAAATTATCGCAAATGAAATTATCAAAAACATGTACCCGGTATTAGTTGTACATCCTTATAGGATGATATGTATATATACGCTAAAATTGTAATTCAGATTCATATACAAGCATATTTACACGTGCTTCTCATTCCAATTAGCTTTGTTAATAGCAAATTTCAGTTTTAGTCAATTTTACTTTTAGCTTGACTATAATCCAATGTTAAATTACTCAATAACAAAATATGAATATAAGTACATTTTATAAATGTGTTATTGAACCTGTGTAGATAACTAGCTCTTACAAAATTAGTTACGATTATAGTAGAGAATAAATACTGCGTTTGTTGCCAGAAACAAATTTCAAATATAAGCATACATAAACCACCAATTTACTGTAATGCTGGATAATTAAACACACAGTGCAACTACGAGAACCTAGATTAAGTAACAAATGTATGGTTTGATAACAAATTTATGATGCAAGATTTTTTTTTTTTTTTTGCATGGCAAAGACTAGTATAAAAGTCCTGAAACAATGTAATAATATATTATCTATTTTATATACAAAAATCGATATTAATGTTGCTCAAATAAGGCTACATGTACTGCATTAACTTGATTTGTTTTCACAATGTTGTTTATAAATAAATTTTGCACAAAAAAAAGGCAATTGGCCTAATTCAGTTACACTTTAATGTTCCTCGTGGAATAGCACAGCAACATTTGGCAAGAAAAATACTATTGTACGTGTTCCTCACTACATCGTACTTCCCTGAGCATAAGCCCCACTCCGTGTTTTTAGACATTTAACAAGTCAAGGGCATCCTCGAGTATAAGCCCAGGGTGGTTTTTAGACGTTTTTAGACATTTATTAAAATATGCATGTAAAAAGTATTTCATTGCATACTGTAAAAGGGTTAATTATTCACTGGGTTTTAATTTTGCTTATTTCGCTGACTGGAAAATGCACTAAATTAAAACCCAGTGACAATGTAAAATTTAGCATAGAACACATTATCTAAATGATAAAACCATGAATTTAAAACCCACTGAATGTGCCTGAAATGTAATAATCAGGATAGGTATGGTAGTTTGGTTTACGAGAAAAGCATACGGAACATGATTTGCACCTTTTCTATTGTTATTTAATCAGGATTAACCCTGATGTTGCAATACTGAAGTAATCCATATTTCTTTTGAGTACCGATAGTAGTTTTTGAAATGCCAAAAATGTGATCGTTAAATCTGGTCATTGAACATCGAATAATCGTGTCCATCGAATCTATCATGAATGGGGTGTGAATGAGCAAACTATTCTTCGACATGAAAGGTTGGAATACTTCAACCTTGCGAATTAACAGTTTTGAGAGGGGGGGGAATCACCGACTCAGCATTTTGATTGGTTAACGAAAGACGTGACCTTGATGTGCATATGTAAGTCATCATATATTATATTTGTGGTAAATTTGATTGAGCTTGGTGACAGCACGTCTGAAAAATGGCTCCGAGTGGGCGGGCAGATCCCAAAATAATAATCCCAGATTTCAGAAACTAAGAAAAAACAATCTTAGAGGTCCATAAGATATCAAAGCAATTGGAGTAGTGGTTTTCAATAAGTCAACAATAAAATTTTTGATTAAAATTGGATAATTGAAATATTCGTCACAAAATGAACAAATCTGACAGAGATCAACCCAAGTTATTTACACCAAGTATTAAAGCAATTGAGCTGGTAGTTTTCAAGGTGATAATGTAATTGACGGACAAACAATCCCCAATAAGAACGAAAAATGGTCAGTAAATAACATCAATATCCAGAAAACGTAACTTGTTTAAAAAACCACATGCAACCACATTATGAATTGTTCGATTATATTTCAGATTCATTATTTCTCGTATCATTAATAAAATGATATAAATATTAACCTGGATACAGTGTTAAATGGAGTTTTTTGATTAGATCAAGTGTCAAAAAAATGAATATCACAAATAACTTGTTTTATGGTGGAACTGTAAAAAAATTGAGAATTGTGCAAATTAGATAATTTGCATAAATGTCAACCGAAAAATAATCAAATCTGGATAATATCACAAAGCATCTGTTTATAATGTTTTATTTATGTCTGATGACAGTTCTTGAAACATTACCATTACCATCTGGCCAAAACCTACGGTAATCGTGTTTGTACATGTAACTGTCATTCTAGGTTGGCAAATCAAGGTCTGAAAACAGAGTTCGATTTGATACAAATGGCAATTGCTGACCATGGATTCACCAACTACACGGCTTATGAGTGAAGATTATGGCTTCATATCTACAAAAAAGAAATACGGTTTAACAGGTTTCTCAGTGTCAGATATTATCATAACTATGGCTTGCAGTTCGTTGTACATTTCGGCCATTTTCAAGCAATTCAATATTAGCGCAAACCCAGTCAATCAAAATAGTACTACTCTATTGATCACATGACTAAGGGTTGTGTCTGATACATTCGATTTTTATAAGGTCTGAGCTTTCATAAAATATATAGGCTGAAATGGTTTAGAACGACTCTTCTGAGAATATAATTCTTGTAAAAGGGTTAATTATTCACTGGGTTTTAATTTTGCTTATTTCGCTGAATGGAAAATGCTCTTAATTAAAACCCAGTGAATATGTAAAATTTAGCATAGAATACATTACCTAAATGATACAACCGTGAATTTAAAACCCACTGAATATGCCTGAAATGGTAAATCAGTGAAATTTAAACAGTGAAAATTAAACATTTTACAGTACAGTAATCTGCATTTTACTACTGGGTAAACTACTACTATTTTTTTTTTTTAAATTAGACGCATAAATTCCTTAGGAAAGGATAAAAAGGGTCTTACAGAAAGAAATTAAAAAAAAAAAAACTACAATCTAAAAAATAAAACAAGTCAAAAACAAAAAAGACAATTTGCAGCCAATGGTGAATACAGAATGAACACAAAATGTAGCCTAATACACTGATAGTTGTTGCTGTTTTGTTCCATAGCTGTTTTTGACTCCCATGTGCGAAGCACAAAATGGGAGTCTTTGCAGTTAGTGTGTCTGTATGTGTGTGTGTGTGTGTATGTGTGTCCGACTGTTCCACTGCTATCTCAAGAACCATACATCGGTTTTTGATGAAACTTGGTGCATAGATGCTCTGGGCCAATGCGCAGATTTGATTAGGTTTTGGTAAAAATCCATGCTCGTTAATTACCTAATTTGCATGATAATTAGCTAATTTTTAGCTGTTCTATGACTGTTCCACTGATATCTAAAGAACCACTCATTGGATTTTGATGAAACTTGGTACATAGATGCTCTGAACATATGCGCAGATTTGATTAATTTTTGGTAAAAATCCGTGCATATTAATTACCTAATTTGCATGATAATTAGCTATTTTTTAGTGGTTCCATGACTGTTCCACTGATATCTAAACAACCACTCATTGGATTTTGATGAAACTTGGTACATAGATGCTCTGAACTAATGCTAGGTTTTGATTAGTTTTTGGTAATAATCCGTGGATACTAATTACCTAATTTGCATAATGATTA